CCCTGGTAAGGATGCATGGAAACCAAAAGGAGGTTTTAAAGGCTTCAAAGAGAAGTTAGTTCTCAGTGATTTTCTAAACCGGTTAGCCTTTGACATGCTGCACCTGTGGCTGAGAGGGTTGACTGGTCATAGGCGTACTTCCTTTCCTGCCCATTCAGCAGGGCCTTAGAAGAACACAGGCTGTAGTACGGGTCCAGCACACACTATCCAGTAGACGCTTTGCTCTATATAGGCACAATGCTCATCCCCACAATGCATCTACCCTGTTAATATAACTTTCCTCCTGGTCCCTGGATTGTCATGTGTCCCAGAGGCATAATTTAGCCCAGAAGGCTCTGTTCACCTTTCCTTGCTTTTATTCTCTGGGATTAGTACAGGATTACTGGCTACTGAAACAGTCGAGCTTTATAACATACTGAAGTTAAGGGCTCATTACAGCGTTTCACAACATGCGCACAACTTCCCCTTATGGTGACTCATGATTTTTTCTCAGCGAGTCAAACTACAGTTCAGCTTGGAAGCTGAGGGCATTAAACCAGGTTTATAACCACAAAGTTTTGCCCTGTGGTATTTGCATCCTGGCTTTAAGGACCACTTCTGAAACTCTGTGCAGTTTGCTGCTTTGTTTCCCTGGTCTTATAGGACCTGATCCAAAACCCATTGAAGTCAATAGAAGTCTATTCATTGGTATAGCCTAGCTTTGGATCAGGCTGGTACAATGTGTTGCTCACTGTGATGATAAAAAGCAAATGACACTGAACATGCTCAGCATTTCCAATGGCACTGGTGTAAAAAGGAAAGCGGCTCTTTCTGGCTGACTGATCATCCTGCACGGTCTATAGAAACATGAACCAGACACAGTGCTTATCCAGTTCATCTTTCTGCTCTATCAGGTCAATGCAGGAGATCACAAAATGAGAAAATTCAGTGGTCGCTCTTCTTTAAGATATGTGTGAACGGCCACTGTTTCTAAGCCAGAAAAACATTCTTGTAACAGTGGGTTCCCAGACAGACACGGCTAGGGGGAAATGCCACTTGCTCAGAACAGCTACCTTGCTCTAGCCTCCGGGAACCACACCACTGCCTCGAGCCTTGAATTTTGCTTCTCCCTGAACCCCAAATCCATGTAAGTGCTAAAAAAAAGGAAGCTCCTGAATACTGGTCAAGTGTTTCCTAAGAGTGAAAGTCAGGTGCTTAATATCATGGCAATCTGGTCCAGACGACATCAGATCTTTTTGAAGGGGTAATGCCTATTGCTTAATGAGCAGCAAAGCTGGATTTTTGTGTGCGCGCCGTTTTATACATCTCCGTTCCCTATGTGGCACACCACTATAAGGAGCAGCGTCTGATCATTCAATTCATGCCAAAATGCCACGTCTCTCTTACCAATCACTTTGAGCCCTACGAAGTTCTTACTAACATTGACAATAAATAATGTGTCTGGGAAACAGAACAATAGCTTCTCCCAAAGCTTCTTGAAAAATGGAAGTCCCTTTCCTTTTACCAAGAAGAAGAATTTGGGTCCTCAGCCCATTTAAATTCACCACCACTATTGCGGATACTTTTTATCTAGATAAAAAGTCAACAATAGATTTACCTGCAGTAGCAATCACATTAGCACAACTGCACTTATGTCCATCTCTGCATTCGGAGAACCGAGTAAAGAGCAGTGAACTGTGCAGACTTAATTGCTGTTAACAGTTTTTAGTCTGGATACTTTGACACACTATTTTCTATTATGTATTAAAAGAGAACCCAAAAAAGATTGTAAATAAGAACAAAAACAAAACAAAACAAAACAAAACAAAAAAAACCCCAACAACAACAGAAACACAGGAAGGAAGAGACACAACATTAGGTTTGTGAACATTATGAGTTATGTTGTCTTGTTGAGTCCTTGGCTATAGTGTTTGACTCATATCACTACCTATTTGTTTACAAGGGGAACATGTGCCACCTTAAATCTCCTCTCTCCCTGACGGACACAGGACCTGTATTGGTTCATGATTTCCTACTCTTCATTTGGAGCTGTTTGTCTTTGTGTTTCAGCTCGATACATGTGCATCGTGTACACCATGGTCTGTCAGTCTACATCAGGCTGCATCTTATCACTTATAGAAACAAATTAAGGCAACATGATTGAACTGCAGATGTATATCGCACGCCATTATAAAGTTAATAAAACTTTGGTTTTGATGGAAAGTATATTTGATGTGCACAAAAACCACTCTTCGGATCATATTTTCTCCTCTCCTGGCAGGTTAGAATAATTATTTTTAAGTATGTAAAATTTGAGACTTACAAGCTAACTCAGTTAATATAATTTTATTGAAATATACTTCTAAAAAACTGTCCATTTTGATTTTTTTTACCCCTCACTGTTTACATGAGTATCCTATGGCTATCTTCTTTGCAAGATTATTCCTATTTCTCATTTATTTCACCAATTATTTTACATTCTTCGAAAGACCCATTCTGACATGAGGAGAGATAAGCAAGCTCTTGATAACCCGTTACAGCTACCCTGGCATTTGATTAAATTAAGCCACTTTCATAGCAACCAGAAGCAAGCAATTGGGGTTGGATAAAATAAGAACCAATCCAAACTTTAGCCTGCATCTTAATCTGAATTCCAGGTAATCATTTTTTTTGAGGTACCAACATCTTTTTTAAATTGTTATTTTTAGATGCCTTATGACTTGGTGGGGCAGAAAAACAAAAGTGTTGAAATGCGAAATGAAAAGCAGTTCAGCTTTCAATCCATCCTAAATAAAGCTGGCATGCGGTACAGCTGGATGAGCAGGGGTAAATTTCTGGAGGAACGA